CACATCAGTTTTCGGGATTTTTCTCCGAAGTTAAAAAGTTTATCAACTTCTCCACTCGAATCATCAAGGTTAAGTAACAGCGCATGAGCATATCTATATGGCACTGTTTTTTTTTCATCGGTATCTATATGGCACTGTTAATGATATGGATAAAATGGCATGGTCCTTTCCATAATCAAATAGATAAAACTTGGGATTTGGGAATAAAGTCCATAATCACAGGAATGGAAACTCAAAGCAACTAGATCCTAGCAGGATATAGACATACATGTATGAATATATTTATTAAATATACAAGCTATTAACAGAACAAAACCCATGGACTCGGTTGTATTTCTATGGCATGAATTTATTCTTTAATTTCATCAAGTGGAACAGAACCTAGGAAGTAGGTTTGCAACTGGAGACAAAAAAGAAGGGATCAAAGCAAATATAATTAGCACTACTAAAGCTATGTGGCATCCCTTGATTATATTTGTCGCTCGACAATTTGAATGTAGAAAAAGTAATAGACGGGAGATGAAGAATACATGTACCTTTAATTTTTCTTCTTCTTCACTAGTCCAGGGGATTCGTTTCCGTCTCAGTTGAGGAATGGCTGGATATGAACTGCATAGGAAGATAAGATTAACCTTTTCATTACTCTGTGTTAAAGCAAGGAACACAATCCTATCTACTACAATCAAAATAATTATTTCATTTGAGTAATCCAGCTTGTCATGATCTGTCTGGATATCCATTTTATTTTGACAGAGTTGAAGCTTGGTTCGTTTCTGTACCTCCTCTCACTTTTCACTTATTGGTGTTTTTATTTTTTTTTTCCCTTTCAAAAAGAAAACATGGTCACGTTATCGGGAATTTGTACCCAATTAGATGCCAAGTAATGATATTAGTCCTCAGTTACGGAATGAAAATGCAAATAACATTATGGATCTATTACTAATAACTTAAACAGGCATTACAAAAACCCTTGAGGACCACCACAGTTCTCAATGCACAAGCAACATTTTGCAGCAATAATCTCTCCTTCCAGCCAGTACCAAAAACTTAAACACAAACAACATGTCCTTATCATTTGCAATGAGAAAAGAACTTACGGTTTCGTTTTTTGTTTTCGAACTCTTACAATGTTCTTGGAGGCCCCCGAGTTCTCATTTTCTTGCTCTGATGTTTCTTCCACGTCAGTGGATTCAGAGCTTCGTAAAGATTTTTTTCCATGAGGTACGTCTGTTTCTGGTGAGTGCAAGGTTCCCTTTTCGGATCCAATATTGGCACGCTTCTCACTCCTACCACGTCCCTCAATAACCTGGCCAGATGTACTTTTTCCCCGAGATATGTCAATCTCCACTGCAGGTCCCTGTTGTTCTCCACTAGCTTTCTGAGATTTGAAAGATTGCCTACCTTCTTCCAGAGATTGGGTATTGGTTGAGGTTACAACTTTTCTTCCAAAAGGAGGACTGTGTTCTGAAAGACCTGGCTGTTCATATTCCAATATCCTCCTCCGATGACGATCACTGACCCTTTCTGCTCTCCTTTTCATTCCATCACCTTTAGGCAAACCATCATTCTGTTCCAAATTATTTTCATTTGCCTCGTATAATCTCTGAGACTGTTTTCCTGATCCTTTTTGGGTCCCCAAGCAGAAAAAAGTTGCCAAGTCCTTCCTTGCCAAGGCAGTCCTTTTCTTAATCTCCAAGTACTTTGAAATTGCTCGAGAATATGCACAAGACGGGCAGTAAAATTCCCCAGTCGTGTCAAAGTCAGCATCTGAACCCAAACAGCTCTGGTGAATCACTAGAGGACAGGAATCTGAACCACAAACCAGTAATTTTCCGCCCAAGTTACATTTTACACATAAATTTAATCCTCTCCAATCAGTTGTAGCCAAAGAATCTTGACTGTATGTGCACTGGGAGCTCAAAAATGTTTGCTTCTGCGTAGCAATATTAGTCCTCTCGTCATGGCATCCATCACTGTCAGTAGACATATCGACGTCTTCATTTTCATCAATATTTGGCAGATTCCCCAAAACACTTGGTTGCAATTGATTCACGTCTTCATTGGTTGTTCTGAGCCCATGCAAAACACTTTCATCACCTTCTGGATTCTCATTTTCGAGACCTTGTCTCTCCTCACCATCAGAATTTCCATTTTGGCATGGTGGTACCAAATCTTGAGCCTGATTGTCATGAGGCAAAACTCCATCACGAGTAACATGACCTTGTAATGAAGTATACATGTCATTAACATCTTCCAGAGGTATACTTTGCTCCACTACCTCTACATCAGCCTCCTTCCCTAAACTGCACCTTTCTTCACCACTGTCTCTCATGTATGTACCTGCCATATTTTGATCTCTACATCTAGTTGTTGTCAAGGATTCTAGTTCCTTTGCATCCTTTGTGGTAATATCAGCATTGTCATCATTTTCCCCATCAGTATTGCCAAAGGTATCGACTTCATTCACTTCCTCGTCACCTTTTTCTCCTTCAATGTCATCGTTTTGGCCACGCGTACCCTCAGTTTTGTTATTCGGTTCAGTGTCACAACAAAGAACGCGCTTCTCACATGGTAAAACGTCATTAGAACCACCAAGCCCCTTCGGTGAAGTACACCCAATTTCGTTAGAAGGTCTGTCCATCTCCACGTCCCCAGCACAAGACTCTGTTCCCAAACTGCATCTTCTTCCCTCACTGTGCTTCACAGATTCTGCAGGCTTATCGGCTAATTGTGCATCATCAGCCGCAGATATCACTTTCTCACCTACATTCTGTTCATGGGAAATGATGTCATGCTTATTCTTCTTGACTAACTCTACATGGGTTTCAGAGATATCTTCTGTCTCACTAGTGGCCCTTCTTTTCCTGTTAAGTGGTGCTATATTCTCATCCGGTAAATCTCTTCGTGAGACGTTACCATCATCGGCACCAGTTACTCCATGCTCAGGTTCTTTCTTATCTTTCAAACCACTTCGTTCCTTCAAAGATGCAAGGAAAGAATGGCCTCCTGTACGCACTGCATTTTTCAGCTGAATAAGGGGAAGAAGATTAGAAGAAGCAAAAAAAAAGTTTTATATCTTTTCACTATTCATGCATTTAAGATCACACAGATCCATCCACCTTCTCTAAAGCATGCCGAGTCAAGCTAGATTTTTTATACTGGATAAAAGGCTGAAGGTCCCATTTTGACATCTCTGGGAAAGGAGGTTTCAGATGCAGTGGAGATATCTGCAGATACGTATGATTTATATCAGTATCAAGACTTGCCTGATAGAAAAATTATTGTTGGCATTCTGCCCTTTTTATTCAAATAATTATTAACAAATAAGGTACCTTGGTCAAATCCTCAGTCAATATTCGTTGAAGGACATCTTCACAGCTATCACTGGATGGATCTAATCTAATTTTTTGAATTGAGGTAGAAGATACTGGATTTCCACGAGCTCCTTGAATGAATAAACTCTCTAAAATTCTCAACGATACCAATTCCCTTGCATTTTTACCATGATCATCGGATATCTCTGGTGTTCTCTCAAGTAAATCTATGGCCAGAAATGTAAAACTTTCAAGTCTAAACAACAAATTACAAGAGCCACTAATAAAATTTTCCACGAGATATAAGGGTGACATCCATGATTACCTAGTAAAAGAGTTGTATCAACTTGGTCAGAGCATGCTAGTGTTTCAATGACCCAAATCCATGGAAGAGGTGATGTACAGAACAGCTGGAAATCCATACAAGACTGCTTCAAAGTTTCAACCATGATACCCTGTTATCATTATGCTTTATAAAAGCACCAGAAAGTCGATTTTAAGGCGCATTCTATTTTCTAGATATGTATGCAAGAGAAAATGTTGTAGTGATCAAGTAATTACGTGAAAAATAATGTCACTAATGCTCATTCCGCATTAGAACCTCACAACCGCTGGAAATGAAATGCTATATTGATGCACATACAGTTCAAAAAAAAAGATATTCGCAGGACTGCTTCATTTCACTCATTCAATAAATGAATAGCATAGTTGTATGAAGGTTCTTCAAGACAAACATAATAATATAGTCACTCAATGCAAGGAATACTTTGAAAAGCATTAATCATAACCACATCTAAGGAAATGGTTCAACAGGAAATCAACAATCTCTAAAGGGCAAGTTAATCACAAATAAGGCTCTTAACTACACTATTTGACTAACTATATGGACAAAAATATTTTCTTCATCCCAATAGAATCGAGACTATTTATTATCCTAATTCGTGTGAAAACACAAATAACTGATTTCTTTCATAAACTCACACTGGAACAATTACTACATCCATTCAACTTCAGAGGCATAAATATTAAATAGTTTCCTCTAACAATCTTCTAAACAAGTGACATTTCCTATTTCGCACTTGTCAACATAAAACATATCTTCTAAACCAACATCATTTTCATCTTGCCAACAGATTATCCTCTTCCAATCAATTCCTAGGTCACCAAAAACACAGCACATATCAAACATCCAAGCCATATCCTAATTTATAATATCATACTAGTCACAAAACTAATAAAAACACACAATCACCATAAAATTTTTCCACATCTGAGCACAAGAGGGAGCCATATACGCACGTAAAACTGCACCAATAAAATCGATTAAAACGACCACAAACAAATCAAAAAAATTACAAATAAAGTGCACCGAATGTTACACGAAGCTGTCGAGGATCTGCCGCTAATGCTATCTCTCAATCTGCAGAGAGTCGATCTGCTGTTCTTCCTGGTTTGTCGAACTACAGTCGACTGTGAGAACGGAGGATTTTCTAGAGCAATTTTGGTACACGTTATATATGGAAATTTTTTACGCCTTTTGTGCAGTAAATGGAAATATTGGGTAGAAAAAGTGAAGGAAAGTCGTGTTTGCAGCTCGCACTTTCATCCAACGGGCATCTTTGGACAGTTTTTGCTGACACAAATGCACCATTAGACTATCTAATCATCAGCAACCATATTTTTATGTAAAATTTACATATTTATAACATAAAATATTATACTTTTATTTATATTGTATTTTAATTTTTAAATTATAATATACTAGGTACATTAGTTGAAAGATTATGAATGATTCTCAATATAATTTTGTTCTCAATTTGATTTTTTCTTTTTGCCTGGTAGGTGAAATAAATGAAAAATTAGGGCTATACATTCCTTTTGTAGATAAAATACAATTTTAATAGCATGAGATGGTATATATATTTTTGGTAATAAATGAAAATATATATGTTTCAATTATGTTAATTAAATGAAAAGATAAGAATTATTTCGTTATAAGAAATGCAAGCATACGGGATATGATTAGCTATATATCAATACTATTACAATACTCGTGTATTATACATGAGCTATTCAAAATTAATGTATTTAAAAAAAATAAAATTTTTTATTTTAAATATTTCTTAAAAATTATATTTTTATTTCAAAATGATACTTGTTGTCTATAAGATTGTTCATCCATGTTATAATAATTTTTTATCGCATTCCACATAACAGATTTGATAGATAAATTTATTTAATTAAAAAATATTAAATATATTATACTATATTAGGATTGGTTAGATAAATATAATATATATTTATTACTTTTATATTTATTAATATGGATATGAATGTCAAATAAAAAATCGTAAAAATATGATTAATTTAATATATCAGCAATACAGTCGTATGTAACAAATAGTTGTAGAATTTATGAACAATCATATTGTTCATTTAATATNAGAGGAAAAATTAATCTTAATGCTTAAGACCATCACTGCAGAAGGTTATTCAAGTTTTTATACCAACAAAATCCGGACCGAGATCTTTACTTGATGTTTGGATACAAAACTTATCCAAAAAATCCAAACATTTTTAACTCAACTTTAACTCAACTCAATTATTATTAATATTATTAAATAATATCAACCAATCATTCTTACACATCACATTAACCTTACTTCACTATTCATCCACTCACATAATTTTAACTAACCATCATTTCAAATCATCTCTCTCATACTTATACATCAAATCAACTTCAATTATTTATTTTAAATATTATTTTAATATACCCACTAACAACTAACCATACCACTTTTTTTAAAATTAACCAAATCAAACCAAAAAATCCAAACAAATCTAAAAATTTTTATATCCAATCATCAACTTCACTTAGATTCATCAATCCAATCCAAATAGAAACAACATGAATTGAAACTACACAAAATTTACGTACCTAAATTTCACACAAGCACATTGCTACTTTCTCAGGAAAATGGTAAAAGTTTATATGATACACAGCTACAAAATAAGCCATATCGTGCTCGACCAAAGTTCGCCATCTCAAACTCGAGCACAACACATAAATTACAGAAAAAGAATAACATTCTCACAGGGAAAGTGGAACTAGGCCAAATAGCCTTCCCCTATATTTAATTTCCCAATAACAACACATCAATTGCCTAAAATCGAACTTCGCCTAATCAAATAGATAAAATAGCACTCCATCACGTCTGGCGAGACGTGACGTGAACATCCTTCCAAAAGTCGATCGTGTGGCACTAATGGTCTCGGTGCAAAGTCCCAGTAAGTAAAAACTACCGGAGGCTGTTGAGTTAACCACANAACAATGTTTATAACGATAGGCACTGTACCCAATCAGGTGGATTTGTGGACATGGGCAACGCAAGTACGTATCTTTGCATATGAGGATTTGAAGTAGTTGCTGTTGTGGATACTAATGATGACTCAGCATTGTCATTTTGCGACCGACCATGAAACCTTGCAAATCGGTTGATGACTGAGAATTTCTCGAGTTCTTGACATTCGACTCTCAAGTCCAATACTGATGCATTCTTGTCAAGTCTGCTACTCAAGTATAATATATATACATTAACGGGGAAAAATCGAGCCACAATTCTGATCATAGTCCAAAAGTAGGAAATACGGAAAACCCAAAGTGTATAATAGTAAGAGCAAAGAGGACACAAACAACTCGACACGATACAACACATTTCACAATGCAATATGGAAGGGCAAAGCATCAAATGCGTATTAACAAGTTTTGCTAAATAAACATTGTCCTGCTATCTAAAGTGATTAGAGCTGTTTACAAAGCCATCGAAGAGGTTTAGCCAAGTTACATGAAAAATGATTGAACTATTCTTCAAACTATAAATACGCACTTGGTATTAGTTTCTCTTATGCAAATTATACTTTGAGGGTTATTCGAAATTTGGAAGATGCCTAGATCTTTGGCAATCAGGCAAAAAAGAAATTTGGAAGATGCCTGGATGTTTGGCAATCAGGCAAAACCAAAACAAGGCTTTTGTAGTTATACTTACAAGACATTGCCATCAGATATACTCCAAATAATATGCGATACAGACCTGGCAAAAAAGAAAAGAAAATCCACACAACGAAACCAGAAAGACAAAGCTGCACAAAAGTACCTTAAGAAATCATCCTCTAGCTTCCTAGCTTTTCCCAACAACTCTTCAATAACTTTTGCAAAACGTGGATCGCCATTTAGTTTGCACTTCACGGAGTGTCTAGAAGATGGTTCATAACAGAAGGATTATTATAAAGACTTAAAAAAAATAATAATAAAAAATAAAAATAACCATGACTAGAAATATGAAATTCAAGAAGCATTTTGCATGAGCCAATCAATTTAGGTATGTCCAAGCGAATTCCTACCGGTCCAGGCAATCATGGCGACCAAAATCACTCGAGCATGAAACAACACTGCATGCATCCCCTAATGCTACTCTAGATGCACCATAGGTCACACTCTCATGTGCAGAACTAGAATCAGCAGAGAGAATACTCGCTGGTGGAGGGCGAAACAATTGCTGCATGAGTTGTGTTGTTAAAATAAGCCTTCTCTTTGATCTAAGCAATGGGGATCCATCTTCATTTAATTCAGCATCATCCCGAACCTATCATTAGAGAAAAGATGGATAGATACCTTTAACCCTTTAGAGCTAATGATCAATGAATTGAGGAGCACACCTAGCAAACCAATCATACCTTTTCAGCAAGGCGATTTGCTGCCTTACTCCAGTCGCCCTCTGTCGCACTGCATTAAGGAAATTTTATGCAGATTAAAAAAAAAAAATTGCAGCAAATGCTTACTAAATCCCATAAATCAAGTACCACTATTACACTTGTGGTAATGCAAAAATGAGTCGGTAAATGTAGAAAACCACCATAACATTAATCGTGATTCAGGATTATCTGCTAGAAATCATGGTAGAGCAGTTTATTAGTGTCCATGCAGTGGAGTTAGTTTTACCAAAAATAATGCCCTATAAAAGAAAGCTTTCTGCTGGTATCATGCTCAATGGGTTGAAGGAAAATAGTACATCTTCCAGTTCCTATGTCAAAAAGGACTGATATGCTTATTGAACCTTATGTATTGACAAGCTGATAAAATTACCTGAGAACCAAAAAGTTTTGTGACCCATCTGATATTTCCTTTGACCAAGGATGAAGTTCAGAAGTAGCAGTCTTGCGCTTTTGGGGTCTTAAAATCACCTTATGCTCACCCGTCACTGTCAGTTGCAATGACGGGGCACGAGACAAATGCTCATTCGTTACCAATGTGGGCGCAGATTTCAGAGTGCTGCCAACTTGACAAGCACCAACTGGGGCAGCAGGACTATTCTGCTCTAAACTAGGAGCATCCATAATGCTTGAAGTCTTAACAACAGTTGATGACGGCTCATTTGGTCTTATAGAGTTGACATTATGTGCATTACATACAGGGAACATCTCCCCATTTTTAAAGTGGCCATATTGGTTGAACCAGGATGGTGCCATCTGTGGGGCAACCTGATGATTCTCAGCTCTCAAAGTAGTAGTACAATCAGAACGGTTATTCTGAGAAGCATCCACACCAGCAACCACAATATCCTGTGGCGCAATATTTCCATGTGGAGCAGTGTTCCTCTGCATCATATCAGATGAAGTTAATCTGAACATCCTTGAATCTTCAGATGAAACTCCGGTACTTGAACCCATCATATTTCCAACATTGCCTTCATTTTGCTGCCCTGCTCCAGGATGAAATTGATGAACATCAAAAAGATTATCCGGTCCTTTCATCCTCTTAGAGACCCTAATGCTTGGATCAGTTTGTTCATCCTTCACGCCCCTCATTTGATCTAGCAAGGCGTAGTTATTATTAGAGAAGGCATTAGGTTTCAGGGATCGACCAAATGCTTCCATATCCTTCTGGGTTGAAGCAGAATTAACAGGAAACTCTTCCAAATTATCCTTCGAGGATGTTTTACCCAGAGATTCTTCACCTTTTGATGTTGAATCAACATTTCCCACATGCCCAGAGCTTTCCTTTGACCTATGTTTTTCCTCATCAACCTCACCTTGAGTGTTTGCATAAATTGAACTTAATCCAGATAAAACATGATCCCCTTTGCTATCACGCAGATCAGCACGACTTGACTCCACAATATTTGGCTGGTGTGGCGCTGAAAGGTGTGAAGGGGCCTTTGGGTACTGAGAGGCCAAAGAATGTTGAGATGAAGGAATATTGTTCCAAATGTCCTGCAAAACCTGTTGTGAATTGCCAGGCATACCAAAATGCTGAGAACTGTGGATCTGATTCCTGGTCGATGCTGTTGCAGCTTGACCACTTTCTTGTATATCAGAAGCACCAGCAATACCACCATATGAAGGAAGATTATGACTGTTTTGCAGTTGACTTCTTGCATACTGAGTGTCGGGTGCTTGTTGATAATTTCCAGGTGCCTTGTAGCTTTCATCCCCAAGATTGCCTGGACCTGCAGATCTGTGATTTTCATACTGAGATCCTTCATTAGAAAATGGCGAAGATTGCACTGAAGATGCTTGGATCATCTTGTCTCTCATTTCTCCACCAGCATGACCAGTATGCATGGAATTGGCCACATCCCGAGCACTTTGAGAAGGTAATGAAAGATCAGGAACATTCACACGTTGTGACGGCGGGCCAAGTTGTAATCCAAATCCTTTAGAACTCGAAGAATGATGAGTGTAACCAGCAGACCCATCAGACTTCTCCGCTTCAGGTGGCTGAGATGATACATTGCAATCAGAAGAACTTAAATGAGCCGCACCACCATCATTTCTCGACTGATCCACCTTGTGAAGGAGCTCCAACATATTTTGACTGGATGTAACAGGAATAATTCAAAAGGTGTCACACTTGATAAAAACTACAAAATAGGTAAAAATGACACACTGTAAGTACCTAGGTGAAGAAGCTTTGTTCAGCATGTTTGTATCAAGGGGCCGATTAAAGGGAAAAGATATTCTAGAGGCGCTACCAGGAAAGCTGCCACGGATAGGCTCATAGCTACTCCTTTTATTGTCTTTTGGATGCTCACCCTGCCAATATAACAATTTTTTAATTATGGAATTAATAGAAAATGTCTACCTTCTGCAAAGATATTTGGTATAATCCATATATCACCTCATCTGTTACAGAAGAATATCTCGAGACCTGATTTGCCTGGCCAAAATGGGCATTCTGTAGGGAGCTGGGCTGTAGCTGCATTGGCTGCTTCAACCCAAAAGTAGGTTCCACATCCTCATCCAAATTTCCCATGGGATGGTACTGAAACTTGCGAGGAACAGAAACTTTACTAGCATGCTGATTGGTTAATTTCTGCTTCCCATGGGGCAAAGACCTTGAATCGCATGCATCAGACAATCCCACTTCTCTAAGGCCATGCTGAGATAAGTTTGAATGGAGGCTATCACTAGAATTCTCCTTCACAGCGAAATTCTCCATATCCAGTCTTCTAACTTCATCTTTGTTACTTTTATTTGATGACTCCATACCCTGATTGCTCCCCAAAAGGTTACTCCCCTGGAATTTGCCTAGAGGATATGCATTCTTCCACTGATTGAGCAAGCTATTATTAGGAACAACTGAACTGTTTCCATCATCAACCCCCATGTTACATGAGTTTGCTACTGAAGCAGAAGCATGATTTAAACTCAGAAGCTCTTTATCTGCTAAGTGGTTTCCAACTTTAACAGGGCCAAAATCAATAGCAGAACTAGGAGAATTCGACTTCCAAGACGAACTTCCATTTACATCTTGCATTACCATCAACCGGTTGTTCTGCAACTTTGCTGGCAATTGAGCTTCCTGATTTTTCACTCCATCTCCCCCACGTGGTACAGCTGCCTGAGCATTCCAACCATTTCGTTCAAAAAAAGTTCCAGCCTGCCGGGGAAACCAAGTAGCAGATACTTTTTCGTTAGTCCTCTCCGCATCCAGTGAATGTGGTGAGGCATTTTCATATATTTGGCTCCCTTCAGCAACTAATTTTTGTTGGGTGTTGCGATTAGACCACTTGCTAGATTCATCCAAGGACTGCATATATCTTTGAGATGCATCAGTCGACACTCTTATGCCTGATTCCTGTTGAAACTTGTGTGCAATTTGATTCGATCCCAATGCATTACCACTGTTTATATCTTCAGAAGAACGAACTGATCCAGAATTTAGTGTTGGAGGGATTCGCTTATCCTCTTCAGGCAAAGATGCTTTCTTCACATAATCATTGTGCACCAAAGCGGGCTGATTTGCGGAAGCACCATCATTACTGTGAAAGTTCAAACCGCTCCACTCCTCTTGCAGGCCTACATCGCTGCTAGAAGTTTCTGCAACTGCAGACTGCATGAGAGCACTCCAGCTACCACTTTGAATGGACGGAAATCCATTTGATAGCCCACCATTATCAAATAAATTGCCTGTAGTGTCTCCACTCAGATTAGGGCTCTTCCCGAAGGCAGCCCATATATTATCATCCGAACCATACAAAATCTTCTCTTCGGTAGGATCTAGGGCAGCTTCACGCGGAGATGAAGAAAATTGCTGGGTAGATTTTTCATTTGAGGTCTCTAACTGAGCAGGTGGCTCCTTCCTTCCAGCAAAGCGCTGCTGTGGTTCATTTTTTGGCATTTGGAGTCCCCTATCAGCAATCCCAGTATTTAATGATTGGCTTGAAGCATGTCCAATATTTTCAATTTGAACTTTCGGTCGAGAAATGGGATTCGATTCCTGCACACCAATTTGATCAGATAAAAAATTATGGTGACGACCATGAAGAGAATTGCTAATGGCTTCCACTTGTGGCATAGAAGATCTACTTGACACCATCTGAGGATATTGGTTTGCTGCCAATCCCTTTGAACTGGAAACAGGAACTCCATAAAGAGACTGATCATCCTGTTGAGGCACAAAATCCATTAAACGTTGTGTTGGGGCCATGTTTTGTGGAAAAACAAATCCAACGGGGGACCCTTTCATGGCTGAAGGACCATTCAGCCAACTTGTACCAGAATCAGCTGTCCATGGATACTGTAAAGCATCAGAATTGGAACTGTCATTAACCATATTGGGCTGGCTGCCAGATGTCGGTTTGGTAAAGGTTGGAACCTGATTGACAAGATCTTGAGGCCTTAAACCAAGCTGCTTCAGTTGCTGCTGCATTTGAAACTCTTGCATTTTCCTCATCATGATTTGTTGCTGCATTTGCTGCATGTCATTAAGGCCAGTTTGTTGACGATGTAATGCCTGCAACATGCTTGCTTGCTCATGGTTCATCTGCTGCTGACCGCCAAATAGATCAAGACTTACATGGGCCATAGAGGTATCTGATCTGTCTGAAGTTTTTTCTTGTTCATGGCCGCTTCCTTGTTGTGTTTCCGCGAAAGATAAGCCTCTCCCAGAGAGTAGATGCTGATTAGAGGCCATATCCACTGCCAGAAAGTTGCCTTCATTCTGCCTATTCTGGTGAAACTGATTTCCATACACAACCCCATTTGAATACTGCTGGTCGCCGTACTGAGCTTTAGAAGTATCAGGTCTCAGATTTGATTGGGAAAAGTTCAAGCCATGAGGCACATGTACAGGATAGCTGGCCGGTCCTCTATCAAATTCTGCATATGCAACCACAAGTATAAAAAATTAGAAGCCAGTTTCAGATCAGAAAGCATGTGCATTATGCATACATATGTAAATATAAGATCAATGACATTCAGAAATAATTTGAATTTAACATTGCCGCAGCTTACCAGAATTTTGCGATAGGTAATCTTTACTGCTGGGGTTAGGCACATCAATCTGCCTCTGGCTGCCAACCCAATAATCACTGTTTAGCACAGGCCAGTTACCTTCCAGAACACGTGATTGATGCTGCCTTTGCGAAGAATTGTCTTGCGCAAAGAAATTGTGAACCCTATCTCCAAATTCGTTCCCAGGCATAGATGGTTGAGACCCAACTTCAGGTGATAAACTTAGGCGAAACTATTTTATAATAAAAAATAAAAACAATCTTGAACTTCGTGTCTGTGAGTTATATACAGAATAACCTTGTACTCGTCAAACGTGTGGCAAGTTTTTCAAATGATAGGCTCCTGGATAAAAACAATTTAGCGAAATCATTACCAAGAAAAACAACGAGCAAATTATTAACACCATTAAATAATGATATAGAAAAACAATCACACAGAGACACAGGATATTTATGAAGGAACTCGAGCAAATGATAGCAACCATTTAGAGAAAATGAAGAGAACAAGTACACCGACACTAGTTCGATGGCATCATCAGAAGATTCATAGAGGAATCAAAGGAATCAAAAGTTGAATACATATGAACCACTTCCGGGACCGACTAAAAATAAGGAATGTGACGATTAACAATTGTGAAGAGTTTCTAGAGAAGAACAAAAAAAGTTAAAGGATAATCTTGAATACATTTGTACAATTCTTAGTATCTATTAGAGATGAGAAATGTGACGATTAACAAGTGTAAAGAGTGTCACTATTAGAGACGAACAAAAAACAGTTAGAGGTAGTATGAAGGAGCTATAGAGCAACAGTAAAATTTCTTTTATATATTTACATTCTTATCTACATACTCTTGAGTTAAAAAAGCTTTATGTCAAAGCTTCAGCTTAAGTCTCATGTAGACATTTGACCTCGAAGACAATTCGCAAATTTAAAATTGTGTTCAACTTCCGCTCGGGATGTCACTTCCCATTATGCAGTTATTCTTTTCATCTATAGAATAGTATTGCTTATCACCAATGAGAATTTTCTTTTCCGTTTTTAACCAAACTTAAGATAATTTACATATTCTACAGTCAAAGTTGGTTTACGAGCCCGATGTCTTTATAATCCAAGAAATTTCACATAACAGGATCCAACTAAAAACCCCTGGAATTTACATTCCAATCTATGGGCTTCTTTTCATCAGAAAATTCAAACATTCTACATTTTCAATCAGGATAAAATACCAAAGTTGAAATAATCACATGATATGAGTACATCTGTAAATCTCTAGATTTTGTGCTGCAGCCTGCTGGTCATCTACTGTTAGAAAAGCTTACGTGCATACAGCATTACAGTATACTGTAATTTAACATCTACATTCAAATTATATAGAGCAGAAACTGCTACCACAGTGCCAAGAAATATAAATGCTTTTCTGTGCCATTTGTACTGAAAATTTGGGGTTGACTTGCACCCCAAAAGTTGTGATTAAATATACGGCCTGTTTAAAGGTCTGTTCACCAGATTGCCACTTCATCTATCAAAGTCTCATGAACTAGCAGTCATCGTTTGTGTTAAGTGTTAAGTTATGTTAGAAACCATTGGAAAACCCCACTTCAAGAAGAATAACATGTAGACTCCAACATAAAAATTATTGCACTGAATCCCAATAGGAGGGCCACCTCCTTTATACCCAACGTTTCAATACAACAAAGTCACTAAGATGTGATAGGCAATGGTGAAAAACATTAACCCAAAAAGGGTAAAAAGAAGGGTCCAGGATATATCATGGCCCTCCTACGGAACTCGGAGCACCCTGAAGCACTTAAATGGTGCTCAAATAATACATACTAATAAAAAACGAATATCTACTAACAAATGGACATTATGTTTGATATACCAACCTCACTGTGGAAAGAATGATATAATGAGGCACGAGGTCCTTCTCCACAGTCTCCAATTGAAAATGGAAAACCTCCTTTTCCACCCACAAATTCTTAACTGCATCACAAGAACTTGGATTGGATGTGTGTGTGTGGAAATATAAAAGAATTGTAAGAAGGGTTCTGACATATAATGAGGAATAAAACATCACCATCTGTCAGCAGTTACAGTTGCCCAAGCACAGGCACAAAAGGGACCTCACTCAAGTTGCAAATAAGAATACAGCCCAGACTTAAATCTACCTAAACTAGACTACGGCGAGACGTCTGAAAATTGTGTATGTGCGGCAAAACTCAAAATTCTCAGAAACTAGTTAGACAATGCACCTCTAAGTTCGCCCCAAACTGGGACTGCCGTTTCACAATTAAAGATGCCTCCCCTGACGACACCCATAAGCAAACAGACCACTGGCATACCTAACAAGGATCAAATAGACAAACAGGCACAATACTCAGCCAAGTCGCCAATCAAGATCGAAAACATGCTCAAAAAAGGCACCCAGCAGAGCAATTAAGTGAGACAATAAATGACCAGCACCCACGCAGAGCTGGAAATGAGCATTTCACACAACTCGAACCCCAAAACCGCCCCTATTTCATTCTACACACGTATACCATCGCCGAGCATACCTTCTCCAAAAACCCCAATCCCATCCTACACTCAGTTATACACACGAAAATGATGGAAAAAGTACAGAAATAAGGGCAAACAAATTGGGTCTGCGATGCGAAAAACGAAATAAAAAATACACAAAAAAGGCAACTTACGTTAAATGGGATTTCTGTGACTGCCGATAACTGCTGATGAGCATCGATCTCCAAATACGGAGGAGTTTTGTTCTAGGGTTCTGAATCGGCGAACAGAATTGCGGGGAGATGTAGAGAGAGAAACGAGGGCGTATTTTGCTGTGAGAGATAAAATTGTGCGAAATTTTCAACGAGATGTATTAGGTTCGGACCGAGGCTAAGGCTCCGAAGCTCCGAGGCAAGCTCTGCGCTTGGTTCCGACCCTCCCCAATCAACCTGCCCTAGCAATAAGCCTTTTAAGTGTGCATGAAAAAACGTTTAAAGTGGGTTAAGTAAATTAAATAAACCGTTTAATCTATAAAGTGAATTAGGTAAATTTGCCGTTTAAAGAAGATTTAGTAAATTAAATAAAATGTTCCTTAATGATGCATATTATCTCACTTCAGAGGATAAATAGTGATACTTATGATAGAAGCATTTGACACATTTGAATGTTTTAAGTTTTTACTACCTCGTAATGATGGTGATGCTGAAGAAAAATTATTTTATTAACTATTTAACACCGCCACCAAATATCTTAATCTTCCGATAATAACATGTAAACAAAGAAACCATTAGAATTATCATACACAAACCAACATACGAACCAGGCACTCGCTCCAAAGATGAAACCACGACCCGCATACCAAAACTTTCAAATTTGAAAACTCTGATTCAAACTCGAACGGCTAAGCATATCTGAAGAGGAATCGTAGTTTAAGAACATATCAACCTAAAAGAATGAAATCCAAAAAAAGTGAAGAGATCAACATAAAACTACCAAGTATTGGTCAGATGCCGATAGAAAGACGTTGGACGTTGTGTCAATCTGAAAGAGCGAAGCTTAAGAAAAGAGGTGTGGAGATTCGTTGTCTTGCTTTATAGAAAAGGAAAAGATTTTTATATTAAAAAGAGTGGTGTATTATCTCTTAGTTCTCTAGTGTAGCTTAACATATGAAAATATATTGTTCAAAAATGGATTTATTTATTTATTTAAAAATAAAAAAAATTAAGTGGACAAAAACCAAAAAATTTAAAAACATGTGAACAAAAATCAAAACTACGTATTTTGAGAATACGTTTTTATTTAAAAAACGTATTTTTAAAATACGTTTTATAGTGTAAAACGTATTCACATAATACGTTTCAAAAAAAAAATTAATAAATAAAACGTATTTTGGTTATATGTTTTACAAATAATTAAGAACTAAACAAATAATTAAAAACTAAACGTATTATTCAAATACGTTTTATTTCTTAATTATTTATAAAATGTATTATCAAAATACGTATTATCAAAATACGTTTAATTATTTATAAATAATTATTTATAAAACGTATTTTGATAATACGTTTTATATTTCAAAATTAATGAATAGAAAAATTAATATATAGTATGTGTTTTGTGTGTTGGGCTCGTTTAGGCTCGTCTGAACTCGGAATTGAGTTCCGTTTTTTCCTATACGTAGCTAACGAACCCCTCTATGCAATGATGCTTGCATGGCCAAATTATTCTTGAAATCATATTCTCCCAAAGATCTTGACCGATACATTAAACGTGTTTCGCGCGACTTTGCTTTTTGGGCCCGTTCAGACTCGCCCAAGCTCGAAATTTATTACCGCTTCTTCTTATATGTCGTCAATGAACCCATCTACACAACCATGATTGCCCGGTCAATTTTCGGGCTAAATCTATTCCTCACGGGCTAAATAATTAACAAATCACCCATTATATAAATAGATGGTTCACGGAGAATTTGTTAATAGGTGATTTGTTAATTATTTAGCCCCGTGAGGAATAGATTTAACCTGAAAATTTACCAAAAAATCATGGTTGTGTAGATGGGTTCGTTGGCGACATATAGAAAGAAGCGGAAATCAATTTCGAGCTTGGACGAGTCCGAACGGGCCCGAAAAGCAAAGTCGCGCGAAACACGTTTAATGTGTAGGTCAAGAGCTTTGGGAGAATATGATTTCAAGAATAATTTGGTCATGCATGCATCATTGAATAGAGATGTTCGTTAGCTACGTATAGGAAAAAACAGAACTCAATTTCGAACGGGCGTTGTTGTCGTTCGTGGTCACGACGTCTTCTACCTCCACCAATGTTGGCAGGGGGTTGATGTCTCGCCCTCTGTGACTGTGTTTTCTGGGATGAGCGTAGTCCTCCTCGGATAGAACTTGATTGAACGATGCTCCTAGTGTGACCTTTTGGCCTCCAACAGTCAGAAAACTATAGGCAATTTTCGGGTTCAGTCTATTCCTCATGGGCTAAATAATTAACAAATCACTCATTATATAAATAGATGGTACACAGAGGATTTGTTAATAGGTGATTTGTTAATTATTTAGCCCTGTGAGAAATATATTTAACCAGAAAATTAACCAGACAATCATGGTTGTGTAGACGGGTTTGTTGGCGACATATAGGAAGAAACGGAACTCAATTTCGAGTTTAGACGAGTCCGAACGGGCATTGTTGTCGTTTGCGGCCACGACGTCTTCTACCTCCACCAATGTTGGCAGTTGATGCCTCGCCCTGTGTGATTGTGTACTCTGGGATGGGACGTAGTCCTCCTCGGATAGAACTTGACTGAACGACGCCTCTTGTGTGACCTCTTGGCCTCCAACAGTCAGAGAACCATAGGCAATGTTGTAGGACTGTTGGTAAGATAACTATAGACAATGTTGTAGGACTGTAGGAATGCGGCCTGCGCCCGTGGAGGGAGTGTAGGAAATATGTCTTGAATATTCGCTAACGAGTTATAAACCCCCTTCAGGGTTTGAGTCTGAAAATAAAATTCAAAGTAATTAGTATGAAACACCAAAAAAGAAAAAAAGAAATAATAAAAAACCACAAATTATGAACACTTACATCGCACTTCTCCCGCTCGACAAATGTCTGATAGTCGCCGTCCTGTTGGACCACCGTGTACTTGGTAGGGTCACTGGTAAGTCTTACAGTCTTAGTAAAAAAACCAATCAATGTAACTCTACTCAGCCTGTAGAAAGTGATCCATAGGGCATCTTGGAGGACATTTTGTTCTCTTTCATCGAACTCAGCCCTTGGTAAGCTGTGAATGAAAGGTGGCCCGATCACCAAATGCCCTCCCAGTCATTCCACGACCTCTGTGGTGTGTCTCTCATTCTTGCTCACCACTAATCATCGGATTTTGGGGGATGAACTGCTGACACCCAAACTGACGGAGAACCTTATCAGACAAGTGGACTTCCCGTATGTTCCAACAGAAGATCCACCCTCTATACATCCAAATATGTTGATCTTCTGTGCACTCATCCGGGAGAGTACCTATAGTTCTCTGACTATTAGAGGCCAAGAGGTCACACAAGGGGCGTCGTCAAGTCAAGTTCTATCGGAGGAGGACTACGTCCCATCCCAGAGTACACAGTCACACAGAGCGAGGCATCAACCCGCTGCCAACATTGGTGGAGGTAGAAGACGCCGTGACCGCGAACGACAACAACGCCCGTTCGGATTCGTCTAAGCTCGAAATTGAGTTTTGTTTTTTTCTATACGTAGCTAACGAACCCCTCTATTCAATGATTCATACATGACCAAATTATTCTTGAAATCATATTCTCTCAAAGCTCTTGACTTACACATTAAACGTATTTCGTGCGACTTAGTTTTTTGGGCCCGTTCGGACTCGTCCAAGCTCGTAGTTGAGTTCCGTTTCTTCCTATATGTCGCCAACGAACCCGCCTACACAACCATGATTGCCCAGTAAATTTTTGCGTTAAATCTATTCCTCACGGGGCTAAATAATTAACAAATCACCTATTAACAAATCCTCCATGGACCATCTATTTATATAATTGGCGACTTGTTAATTATTTAGCCCGTGAAAAATAGATTTATCCCGAAAATAGACCATGCAATCATGGTTGTTTAAAATGGTTCCTTGAAGACATATAGGAAGAAGCAGAAATCAATTTCGAGCTTGGACGAGTCCGAATGGGCCCAAAAAGAAAAGTCGCGCGAAACACGTTTAATATATCGGTCAAGAGCTTTGGGAGAATATGATTTCAAAAATAATTTGGTCATGTAAGTATCATTGAATAGATGGGTTCGTTAGCTACGTATAGGAAAAAACGGAACTCGATTCCGAGTTCAGACGAGCCCAAACGAACTCAAAACACAAAATACATACTACACATTAATTTTTTTTTCATTAATTTTAAAATATAAAACGCATTATCAAAATACGATATGAATAATTGCTAATCCACGAAAACCAATGCGAGAAATTCGAAATTTATAAAACGTATTTTGATAATACGTTTTATTTCTTAATTATTTATTAAACTTTCTTTATTATTTATTAAACGTATTTTGATCAAAATACGATATAAATAATTGCTAATCCACGAAAACCGATGCGAGAAATTCGAAATTTATAAAACGTATTTTGATAATACGTTTTATTTCTTAATTATTTATTAAACTTTCTTAATTATTTATTAAACGTATTTTTAAAATACGTTTTATTTATTATTTTTTTTTATAAAACGTATTATTGAAATATGTTTTTCAATTATTTAAAAAAAATATATTTTAAAAATATAATTTTAAAACATATTACCATAATACGTTTTTTTTTTAAAAAATTAATTAAAAAAACATATTATGAGAATACGTGATTTTTATTTTTGTCCATATATTTTTTTTTTTTTATTTTTGTCCAGTTATTTTTTTTTTTATATATATAAACTACCCTTCAAAAATGGCTAAATTACAATTTAAATTGTGAGCTTTTAGTTTTGACAATTTTAATCCAAGTCCTGACTAATTATATAATAAGCAACGATTTGACTCATTGTTGCAATCGGATTCTCAAAATTACTTGGCGATCAATTTTTTATCAGTGTTGACAAATTTAAGATTACATGACAGTCTGTTTGCTTATTAGGATTAAGATTAGATTGATCACAAATAAAATCACATTATTTTATCATTTCAGGCTTTAGAAAAATTAGTAAATTGAGATGTATATTTTATTGTGATTGTAATCTAAATCCAAATGTGTTACCTATGGGTTTTTACAACGTCTTCAGCAATATGACAATATACACATTAGAACCAATTCTCACTAAATTATAGCGTAAAAATGACAAATGAACTAATATTAAAACACAAATGCAATACAAATATTGATTTGAAATCTATACTAATGTAAAAAGGTTGTTGATAAAATTATTTTTAGTAATTTTGACCAAAAAAATAAATGGGTTGACTTACTATTAGTATAAATTTTGAAAAACGCATGTCGATCTTTAGTAATAAAATCTAAATCTCATTTTTTGTAACAAATTTGGAAATTCTTATACCAAACTCTAAATCCTATTTTTTTTTTTTTTTGTATCATTTTTTATTTTTTTTTACCAAATATGAATCCTAATTTTTTGGTGACAAGTTTAGAGATTCATGAAAACAAATTCAAATACAAAGTAATTTAAAAACCGTGCAAATTGGATACAAATTTAGGAAATAAATAGTTGTATAATTCTTAAAAAAAATCAATATTTTAGAATAATTTTTTCTTTAAAAAAATGTGTGCAAATTGGATAAAACCACGTGCAATTTTTATTTTAAAACAAAATTAAAATTTGGACGGGATATACAT